ATATATATACTGTAATATTATATTTTACTCCAATTTGTTTTTGATACATTTGTTCTGTTAAAAAAAACTAATAACGGAGAATTCCATGTGGGCCATGCATGAATCAGAACATAATTTGACTCGACAGATGCTCACAATAGTCCTCGTCCCACAATAATCAAAAACAATCATAATACAATCAAATATGGTCTCTGCCACGCTGTAAAAAATACCCCTCACCCCCCAAAAACAATGTTCTTTCAGTGAAAACACCCTTTTCGGGATGGGCAATCCCCTGCTGGACATTTCTGCAGTGGTCGACAAAGACTTCCTCGATAAGTAAGTGGGAGTATATTGTCGAATTCCTGTCATAACTGCAATTATCTGTGACTAACGACACCCGTATCTGTCTTGAAACAGGTACGGACTGAAGCCCAATGACCAGATCCTTGCTGAGGACAAACACAAGGCCTTGTGAGTAATAAAATAATAAAAACGCTCAATGTTAAAGCATATGTGTTGGAGCCAAATAAGGGCTCACGCTGGTCATTCATCCCAAAGCCCAAAATAGCCACGTCATATATCCGCCCTGAACGTGACACGCCCACTGTTTGGCAACACGAGGGTGCAGCCATTAATGTCATGTGGCTTCAAAAGTCAATAGAAGCGTATTTGCAAGTCAAAAAGTTAAATGTTTGTTTTTACCTTTTATTTTCTTCAAGTTACAGCACCTCACCTTAAGTCCTCCAGTTTTCATTTTACCATAAGGCGTGCATTGAAATAAAGCTGGAGAAATATTTCCTTTAAAGTGATAATGTACAACTCCTATAAAATAGCCAATGAACTAAATTACATTGAAAATGTAAACAATTATTTTGAATGACATTTATTCTAATGGTATCAACATGTGTAACATCTAACATCGTAAAAAGTGCATGCCCCCCTCCTTCCACAAAACATTGGCGTTGGTCGTGAAACATACATGACAAGGTGGCCCGTGCCAGGTCAACACACACGCGCTGACTCAGGCTGGCGTCTCAGCTTAGGGGAGAGTGCAGATGGCGCCCCTTAGGGAGTCTGTCTGGGTTCACTTGGTGCCCACGTGGAAGAGCGTCGCCATCTGTAGCACGCGTGACGGGAGCCCACACCAATATGCCATCCAATATGTCAGTAGGAGTCATCCACTCGAGACGTTTTCATCCTGACATCACGTGTACTTCCGGCTTCTGCGGTCTTATCTGCTCTAAAACCAGATAAGCGTTGTTCTCAGAAGTCGTGCAACACGAGTGTGACTTGTGAGCCAGCAAGTGAACTTGCGAACCTTTTCTTCGCAGGAGATTTTTTTAATATCTGTCCACTAATGTGGTCCACCACTCTTGAGTTGCGGTTGTGACATGGATACCAAAAACTGAGCACCCAAGTGTGAAATTATTTGTAATTTAATTATTTTTAAATAATTAAGAACAGTTTCTCTATCTTTATACAAATGTGTTCAGTTGAAATTTTGATCCAGTTATGTTTACATAAAAAATTACCAGTGTTGTAATTTCAAATTTCTCCGCATTTCCCCATTAAAAAATGCAAGAAACAAACTTTACTTTGTCTGGTGAAAGAAAAGCTTCAATTTTTTTCTTTTCTTTGGAGAGTAGATTGTGACAGTGAGTAAAAAAAAAAAAAAACGTAGAGCGACTTTCAATACTGCACTGTGCTTTGAAAACAGCTGGAAGTGAGTGATTTTTTTTTTCCCCTTTTGAACTCCACTTTGTGTCCACCAGGAGGCAATAGTCGCCTGTTGTTTCTCCTCCTTGTGCCTCCCGCAGCTTTCCAAGGAGCCTCAGCAGGAAATAACATGTCATCATGGCGAATGCCCGCCTCTTTTCTGCTGGAATTGACAATGTGGGCAAACACTGGATTCCAGGGAGGAACGTAGCATTCCGTAACACTGCAAAGAAAACAACATATCACTGCTAATGATTCCAAGCAGTGTGTGTGTGTTTTTCATCCCTACCATTCAATGATAATGAATTGTTGATGGTCTTTGCAGAGGTTGTTTGCTCACAGCAATTAAATTCATCAATCTCCCTCTTCCTCTGCGCTAAATGCAGATTAGCCGCGTCACAATCGCAAACTGCTCATTATATCGTGCGTGTGACCCCCTTTGCCGCATGAATAATTCAAGCCACGTTAGGGAAGAAGGGGAGGTGTTCCTGCGAAGGGGCTGGGCAATTTGAGACGCACGCATCGTCTTTGCACGACACGGGAGATGAGACGGCGCTCCTCTAAGACTCGCGTGCGCCCCACCGTGTGGGTACGGCGCACGCACCCCCCCCAACACCCTGCCCCTCCCACTCAATTGTCTTCCCAGGAGGGGAATCAACAAAGATTGCGGCTGTGTGTGACGTACTTCGCTTTGTCAACATACTTGACTGCCGCGTTTCGAGGGCTTTTCCGAACTCCAAAACGCAACAAATAGCGGGTGAAAATTCACGTGTGACACCCAAAGTTGGTCCCTGAAGCCAGTTTTGCTGAGCAGCATTTCAGGCGAGGCTATTCTGGCATTTGTGCGTGATCCACCTTCACAGGATGCTCTCATGCTTCGCTGAGTGTGTGGATACAAAACAACCACCCTGCCTCCTTCGTATGCTGCGAAGTGGCGCTATCAGAGTACACCTTTTCACCTTTTCAATCTCCCCGGGGGGGCACAGCCACGGTCAGATCATCCGGCAACTCACCCGCCGTGACCAGCGTAAGGTCACGGGCCGGCATCCATCAGTGGCGGACCCCCCGAGCCAAAGAGACAGCGCAGAGATTAATGGCATTCGAGCCGTAATTGAGACATCAGGAACGCGGCGCTCGTCATGTTTTATTGATCCGCATGAACGTGATCAAGTGGGGCACTTGCATAAATGTGACATGGCCCCCCGCGCAACGGCTCAGCTGTGAGAAATGTGCAGCTGAAGCAATGTTTGACATCACTGCCAGAGGGTTTTGCAACTAAAAAGAATTTTGGGGTGCTCATTCGGACGCCAACAAAGCAGGAAGGAAGGTTAGCTTCAGGACAGCATTTTAGTGCGTTTCCATTGTAAAAAGTTGAAGTTTAAAAAGTTTTTTTTTTCACTGGTTTGTTACTGGACAGTACGCATTTCCGTTGTCACAAGTTCCCGAAAATATCCAACTTGATCCACCTTGATCTTGACTTGAATAAATGTCAGGACACAAGTGTCGCATGAGAGGGGCTACGGCTGATGCAATGGTTGGCTGGGGGCTGTTGTCTTGTTCGGCATCTGCTGGTGGCCAGCAGGTGGTGCACCAAACATGATCACCCCCAGCCCCTCTCCCTCCTTGCCAGTCGTTTGCTTCCGATGCTCCCTTTGAAAGAGCATTTTATAATTAATACGTGGGTGTCTCAACTGCTGCATAACAGTGTGTTTTAGGAGGAAAAAAATAAGCGTGCTCAGGGCTATTTTTAGCCATCTTTGATCCCCCCCCCCCCTCCAGCAGCCACACAGGAAAAGCCGCGGATGGCAGCAGCTTCTCTCTTTTTCAGCGTGGAGACTGATATAGTTCAAGTGCGCTATGTGGGCTGATGTTTGAGACGTGATTGGAGGGGGCGAGGGGTGGGGGTTCACACGGGGCCACAAGGTCCCCCGCAGGTGGGGAGGGCTGTGAATGGCCAACCTCTGAGATAAGCAGAACGTCTCCCCGGCTTGGAGTCTCAGTCCTCGGTAGAAAACACAAAACCGCCAGAAGCTTCCTCACGTCCTTCCGCTCACCCGCCCCTTCCTCTTTTCCGCCACTGTCGCACTGTGACAAACAACGCCGCCCTCTGCAGTGCAAAGAAAGGGAGGGGGGGGGAGCAAAAGAAAAACTGTGAAAGGAAGTGATACGTGTGAGTGTGGCCTCATTGAGTACACTCAGTCCCCACGCTAACGCTAACCGAAGGGGGCGTTAAAAAAAAGAAATAAAAAAAGCACAAAACCAAAAAGCAGCGCTGCCTGTTTGTTCTTCCAACATTCTAATGCAATTAGTCCCCCATTACCGCCGTGTAATTGCGCAGTCATTAATTGTGCACCCGAAAGCTGGAGGTAATAGGGTCTTGTTTTCTCCCGCTCAATGGGGATTTCGCCAAAACAGGCTGCGATACCTGAACAATGTTTTGATGCTTTTGGCAAACGGGCGCTCATCCCACTCTCGATTAGAGCGTGTCCTCCACTCATGACTCATTTGCACTCAGTGCTTCTTTTTCACTCCCATGTTCATACAAACGGCCAATTCATTCTGCGTTCATCGTCCTCGGCGGGTTGGGAATTTAAAAAATACAAGGCCCTCCGTGAATTTTGGCAATGCTGGTTAAGAAGTGTTTGAAGCCTTAAAATGAAGGCTGTTTGTAAATGAAGGAAATAAAAGGCAGGATTTACCAGAAATAGAAATGCTCTCATACAGATACCTGCAAAATCTACTTAAGTGTTCGAACAAAAGAAGTAGCTTCCCTTCTTTGGGAGGGGTAGGGGCAGGGGGAGGGGGGGATCACATCTTTTTCGAAAGGCCGAGGAGATAATTATTGATTTGCGAATAAGAAAAGATAAGGCTCAACCTTGAGGCGTGGGGCACCGGCGAATAATTAATGGGGCTGTCTGGCATCGGGACCGGCGTTCGCACAGAGACGCCGCATATCGATTTTTAAACAGATCAACTGCCTAACCCCCCTCACGAAGGCTTTGATAAACAATTTAATTGGGGGGAGGAAACAAACAAACAAACAATACCCCTTGCCCTCTTCCATCTACCTTTCAAGCTGTTTTTTTTTTTTTTTTTCCTTCCCAAGTCAGCCTGACCGATGGAAACAATTACTGCGCATCGGGCCTCCAGACTGCCACGGAATGTAGGCTAGCGATGCACATGCTGATGGGGCTTCTAATCAGCCATGCCACACGGCTCCACTCCTGGAACGGGGATTTCTGTCAGGCCCCCCCCCCCTCGGCTCCACTCCTGGAACGGGGATTTCTGTGAGGCCCCCCCGCCCGTACTCCCTGTCAGATAGACAGATTGGGTGGCTTTGCTTTGGTCCAAACAAAATCAAGTTAGGTAAACAGTGGCTCTTAACGATGACCCTATTATTTAAAAAAAATTGACAATTCAATTGATAATTGATTAGTAGTCATTTGCAACACCTCTTGTTAAGATCAACTTGTTCACAGAATAGCTCTTAACGATGACCCTATTATTTAAAAAAATTGTCAATTCAATTGATCATTGATTAGTAGTCATTTTCAACACCTCTTGTTAAGATCAACTTGTTCACAGAATGAATTAAAGTTGTCAGTCAAGGTACTGCTCTACGTCGGATCGCAACCAATTGGGCATATCATGTTTGTGTGTGTGTGTGTGAGAACGCAACCCAAGAGTGTCTGCTTGCTCTTGTCAAGTCGGAGATAATTCGCCCTCCTCCTCCTGACTCCCCCGTGGCGAGCAAGCAAATGAGTCCTCCCTTCCCTGCCTCCCTCGTTGGCCTCTCTTGAGCAGTGATGGAGGAGAAGGTTTTTGATGGTCCCGCGTCGCGGAGATTTGTTGGCTGCTTAAACGTGAACAAGGCAATTAAATAAAGCCCGGGCAGTGCCGCCGTGATCATCAGAGATAAACGACCCCCGGCGCGCTCAGCCACTCTGGGACTCTTCTAGGCGCTTTACCGGTCCCGAGTATCCCGATCCCGTCTAGCCATTGATTAACGGGGACTCGTTCGCACTCGACGGGGATTGTCGGGCACTCATCCGGCCTTTTTGAGATGGGCTAACATCAAAAGGGCCCTGAAGAGAAATGGGCGAAATGGGGCTCGTATTGCAACTTGGTGTAAGACCTTAAGAGGAGCAAGTCTTGAATTATTGCCTCGTGTAAATAATCTACTTGGCTTATTTTCGGGGGGTGGTGGAAGAGGAAGTCGTGAGTCACTTTAAGGCACTCAAAGTACTTTTGGATTTCCCTTTGATGGGAAGCTCTGGTGAGCGGGGTGGGGGTGTGGGGGGGTCAATGACAGTAATGTAAACAACCCAGTATTTCCGACCCCCACCTCATGATTTAAAGTGTTAAGACACAGATATTATGGGTTCACACGAGGGCTAAATTAAAAATCACAGCAGTCCACCAAGTGGCAATAAGTTTCAAGCCATGAATCTCCCAAAGGAAACACAAGATGCGTTTTGTTCACCAGGAAAAAAAAAAGTGTTTTCCATTCTTTAGTAATCAGCACTAGAAAATGGGTTAGCTTCACCCAAAACACCAGTTTCTGAGCAAAAAGCTGGGAAAAATAGCTTTTTTATTTTTCTTTAAAGAAACTTGACAAGCAGAACAGTGACTTCATGCTAATATTTTTACTTTTGTGTCACTTCAAACTATGAAACAAAAACTAGCCTGAGACAGAGCGCGACATGGAAGATAATTATGTATTCAAAGGCTCAAGTTTGCTTTTTTTTTTTTACATGCCCTTCTTCCTCCACCCCATGAATGCCGTTGTCTTTTGACAACCCTCCCTAATCAACGTGACATGCCAATCTTTCTCTTCTTCTCAAAAGCTGTGCCGATCTCAAATGCAAAGCGATACAACGCTGCCATCTACAGGGATCTGTTAGTCATTAGAGTGCTTCGCAAACCCGGATTTCATTTCACAGACCAGAGCGGCAAGACCGTCTTTCAATCAGAAAGCCATTTTGCCAAGAAATTGTTGACCCGACACGGTTTGGGCAAACTCTCCTTCAGCGGAATGTATGACCGCATAGCTGAAATGTCTCGTCAAGTGAGCCCCACCGCCACCATGCTTGTGTAAGCACACTTTCGTAGCTGAGGACATTTTGTCCAAAACAATCCCTTCATGTTTTTTTTTTTTTTTCTCCCTCCCCTCAAGCCACCCTCCCCGCTTCCTCCCTCCCTCTCGTCCCCCGGCTCAGCAGATCGAGAAGGGATTTTCTCTCCCTAAATGGCCAAAGGGAGGCCGTTTAGGCTGCCACTACTGTGGGATCACATGTTGTTTGCGGGTGTAAAGGTCTCCAGGCAGCTGCTCCCTTTTCGGATGGGATTTTCGAGACCCCCCGCCCAACCCCCACCCACCCCTTGAGCCCTGCCAGCCCCCGCTGTGCTGTCTGCACTGAAAGGTGGAGTAAATGCTTCCAGGAAGGAGAGGGAAGACGTGAAGGGGGTGGGGAGTTGGGGGGTGGGGGGGTTATCCTCAGAAGCTGATTTGAAATGACTTCTGGAGTCCTTTGCCTGCCTTCGTGTTATAAACACCCACAGTGCTTTTTAATTCCTCCTTTGTCAAGGAGTCAGAGCGGGTGTCTTGGGGTGGACAACCCCCCTCACCCCAACCCTTCCCATCCCGCCACCTGGTTAGCTTATTTTCCACTTGCATGGAAAGTTTTCAGAAACATGTCCTCCCCTCTCGTCTCCTTCGACCGCCTGGAGACCTGCTATGAAGACTTCCTTTGAAGCCGGAAAGGTTACTTTCACACTCGCTCAAAACTCTCGCCACGCTACGTTAAAACATGGCCAGAGTTTGGAGCGCCGTCGGATGACATTTTGACAAGCAAACCGCGGCTGATTATTTGCTCGGCAATTGCGGAAAAATTGAAACGGCGGCTGCTTCGCCCGCTATGTCACCGACGACAGGATTGTGTCGAGTTTAATGGGGAAAAAAATTGCAGTGTGGGAAACAATGAGAGCAGGAGTGAGATGATACTTTTCCAGGGTTGTTTTTCAACTCCTCTCCAAGTCTTGCGATGTACAGTTCTCTTTTGGCAGTCTGCCTATTGTCGAGTGCCTCGGTGTCACTTGAGCTCATAGCGGCTTGCTGATGAACGCGCTTGTTCGATGTTTATTTTGTTAGCGTTTGGTCAATAAAGCGACTGAAAGTGCACCTGTGCAGCACGTGTATGCCCGTTCAAGCCCATGTTTATTTGTCCGGGCCAGGGAATTCCAAGCCTGCTCCCTTGGAATACATTTCATGCAAAAAAAAAAAAAAAAAGAAAAAAGATCCTAAAAAGGGAATGCTGCTTGACACCGTGCAACTCTTTGTTGATACAAGCGTCGATGCTTGTGATTTACCGTCTCCTCCGCGCTCACTTAATTTAAGGGGGAATTTCACAGCACCACGGCCCGTTTGTCGGCGAATTGCAAATTTGTCGAGGAATGGACGCTATTCCGTTTGGGAAGGCGGCAGGCAGGCGTATCATCTCGTCGGCCGCCGGGTCAATTTTCTCAGCGGGGTGGTCGCGTTCACATACATGGTCTTCCCGGGAGGGCTGCGCGTGTGAAGAATGCACATTATTCATGTTTGCCGGTCCCCAGATAACACGAGCACCTCGCGGCCGTACATCACATACGCCAAGCATGGGCGCTATTTGTATAAAAAGGGCTTTGGAAAGATGCAGGATCGATTGAAGTGTTACACTGAACGTTTGTTTACTCCCGCAGTGTTTGTCTCGCAGACGTCATTCTGTGAAATGTGCTGGCATTTCCCCAGCAAGCTACACGAGGAAATTGCTGAGCACGTTTTTTGCACACTGCTCTGAAAATTACGTATGCAAAATAGTTGTGTGTGTAGCTTGTTTTTTGTCTCTGAAGATTTTTTTTTTTTTTGTGCGTTCTCTTAAAAATAGTTTTTTTTAATCTTGTGTAATGTAGTTAACCATCTATTGTTATAATGTGAAGTGTTTATTTTTTTTGTCTCTGCCCACGGTTTCTTTTTGTCTTTTACGAAGTCATTGACTGATCATCCTTGAGCATTAAGAGAGACTGAATCCTTTCAACTTGTGCTTTCTTTCAAGGTTTGAAGAAATTGTCAAGAGGAGGGAAGTTGAATATCACGCCGGCGGCTCTACGCAGAACTCTGTGAAAATTGCCCAGGTTAGTCTTTTGTCTGTGCAATTTATCAGAGGTGTCACATGGAGAAAGAAAAGCCTGTTATAATATTTGTGCTATTATCTCGCTGGCCCAATTCCCCGGAGAGGCGTCAATTAGAGAGAGAAATTACCAGCCGCAACACAATTGACGCGTCACAATAAATTTCATCAGACAAATGTTGCGCTCTGAGGCGGGTCGCTACGTAAAAGAAATTGGTGCTTGTCCAAATCTTGACTGGCTGTCTGAGTTAGGAGAAGATCCGTCACGGAATCTCCCGACGGCACGTGCCGATGATCAATCTCTGGTGCGCATGGAGTCAACGAAAGAGATTGAGTCTTTTTTTTGTTTGTGTGTTAGACCGAAATATACCATAGCCCACGTAAGTGGAATCTAGAATGACCTCGGCCAAGATATGACACTCGGGGAGACCGCCCAAAGGTAAGTTCGTAACTCCCATGTGAAATCAAGCGCAAATTGTCCTCGGTGGAGAAAGTCGACATGCTCCCTTTTGTGAGGGGAGCCTTCAGTCAACTAAATTGCTCCTCTAACGGCATGGCAGAGCCCGCTCGAATGTTATTCTTCTCTGTTTATTGAGCTTTCTTCAGAGGAAAGATGTAGTGTTGATTCTGTGAGTGTTTTCCTCGCAGACTCTGTTGGCTTTTATACCTTCAAGGTGCCCTTTTATGACAAACGCGCAATTCATAACTCGGCTCACGGATGATCACTTTTCATGCAACTTGGGGAAAAAAAAATTTCGGCTGACGCAGAGGCACCCCGCCACCTGAACAAGATGCCCTGCTGGTGTAAAGCGAGGGAGGCGTACTGTGGGGAGCCCCAAGTGTGTGTGTGTGGATCAATGTTCAACACGCGTACTTAAGCACCATCCGCTTCATCGGAGGTTGTAATGGGGTTAAATAGCTCCGCTCCGTCCAAGGCGAGGATCAAGGAAAACCCGAAGCCGGGCTTGAAGAAGAGGCCCAATCGATGGTAATTGGATTCAGTTAAATGGGAATTGACCAAACAGTAGCTTAGAAGGATAACTAGCAATTTGCTCCATTGCGTCTCGGAGTCACAAAGCTTGGATTGAAAGCGTCCATGTTGCGCCGTCCGTCGGTCGGTGGGTCCCGGTGCCGGCCTCACCAACCAGGACCGTTTGATTATGTCGCCGGTCACCAATTTGAGTGAAAGCCTTGTTTATCTGGGATACAACGCAGACTCTGCCGCAATAGCGAAGACTAGCCAGTGTAGACATCGGTTCGGATGCGACGCCGTGCCCCGAAGCCGACATGAAGGCTCCCTTACAGGATGTGCAGCAGTGACAAAACCTCGCCTGGCACATCAAAGAACCTCCGAAGCTTCTCCCTAACGTTCCCGGTGAAAACGCTGACCTTCTTAACTGTGCACTGGCGTTCTCGCAGGTGACAGGATTGGGAAAGGGAGGCCGTTGCCCCCCGGGGGATTGGTGGCGTTTGCCATTTAGTCACGATATCAAAGTCCTGCAGCAGCTCCTCAGGAGCCCCCGGCTTTTGGTCTCCTTGCCTGCTGCCGGCGAAGTGCGTCCCACTGCAGAATTCCCCAGCGCAAATTGTGTGTTTGCATTAGAATCGGAACAAATCAGCATCATTGCCTCATTTGCCAAAACAGACTTTCAACAATGAGACAAATTACTTTGGCGGAGCTGTTAACGTGTCACTAACCAATGAGGCTTTTCATGATTTATTCCGATTTTCTGCAGCGTTCGCAGTCCGTATCATCCATTTACAGCGACGTCTTAATTATTGTGGAAAGAAGAAGAAGAAGAGGAAGAAGAGGGGGGGGGGGTGGCTGCCGTCTCTGTTATGGTTATGATGTCTGTTTAACATTACCTCAGACCTGGTCAATTGCAGAAGGGCTGAATGGGGGCCCCAGGCTTCGGAGCTCCTAATTGGAAACGCATGTGCGCCACGCTGTTGAAAGTTTTATTTAAAAGCCAGAAAGATCTCACACTGCATCATTTTAACCAAAAAAAAAAAAAAAAAAGTCGCTACGCTTTAGGAAATACGAGGTTTGATGTCTCATTGACTTATTTCTCCGGGTGAAAATATGCCATGACCTAATGTTTGGCTTTTATAGCTCATTCCGTTAAATAAATAAAGAGCAGTGACGGGCTAAATGAAGAAATTCCTGCGCCTGGTACCACTTAGCGAAGACGAGGACCGCCACAGGAGAAAGAGTGGAGCTTTTGTGTTGCCAACCACCAGCGTAGGATGAGCTTTCCCCGCGGAAAAAAAAAAGAGGCCATTAGGCCTTTTTACTATTACTTACACCTAATGACTCGTGTTAGGACAGACATTCCCTGTGACTGGACATTCAGTATTAGTGGCTCGGGTCTTCCTAAGAGCCCCGACCTCGCGCCTTAATCATCTAGTTGCAGAAATGTTAGCAGCTGCTCTGCGAAGGGCCGATTAAAGCCCTCGTGAGTCTTTCGATTACAGCGGCTTCTCAAGCGTGCGGTTGACCCGAATGTGAGAAAAACTTCCCGTTTATTATTTTTAGGACGGGTTAGGCGCGCCGAGCGACGCAGCCGAAAGCGACTGAAGTTGACCATCGCAAACAAGTTACAGTCGGCGACTCTCCGCCCACGCACGAAGCGATAAAGTATCGGGCGTCGTTTCATGCGTCGCAAGAGAAAAACCACGACTATGTCACATGTTTGGAGACTCGAAATGAAATACACGGGACTGTATTATTATTAATTTATTTTTACGGAACCACAAAAGCTCGGTGCGGTTGTCAAGGAATAAATTGATGGCCACAAAGAATAGGAAGTGATAGGTGGTACTCACGAGTAATCATCCAACCCGACAAGGCACAGAAGATTGCAGTTTTCATTTCGATTTACTGAAATATTTTTTTTCGTGTGACAGAAAATCGTCCTCTTGCGGGAAGCGCCGAAAAATAGAATTTACGCATTTATCTATTATCAGTTCACCACAATTGAGATTGCTCAATAAATCTGCAATGATTACAGAATGCTGGGCTTTTTTTTTTTTTTTTTGGCACCGAGTGTGTCTGACAGTGGAATTTATTGGGCACATTTCTCTCCTTCTGTGGCTCAAGTGTCGCATAGCAACAAGAGAGGAAAAACACATTTCAATATTTGGGTTTGAAACCATAATTTTGTTCCCTCTCTTTAGGAAACAAAGCCCAGCCTGCAATTACTGTCACCGTCTCTCCCTTGCGAGTTCAAAAGTTTAGCGAGTTGTCGTGACTTGCCAGGCAATAAATGAAACCCCAAATGAGTTTTTTTTTTTTTTCTTTCTAATGTTGGGATGGAAAAACTGACAAGGGGCGCGTCTGGAACAGAACACTGCGCCTGTTCAACTTATCGACAGCTGTTTTGTTTATCAAATAAAAACATCAGCGACACTTGGGTTTGAGTAATTTCAGACCCGACTGGCCAGGATGGAAAGTGTGTAGGTGAGTGCACAGTGGACGCGGCGCGCAAAGAAAAAGGCACAGTCGAGTGACAGACAGTCACTAATACCGGTAGTAATGGCACTTATCCTCCTGCCGCCCACGCCACCGCTGCTGCACTCCCATCTCGCAAGGGGTGGGGTGGGGGGGGTGCTGCGGCCCGTTGAGTCGGAAAGACTCCGCCGAAAGCGCTTCGCCCTCACATATAAATTGCGTCATTAACATCGGCGAGATTATTCCTAGCTCTCCCACCGGGTTTATGGCGGCAACAGCGGCAGCTCAACTTAGCAACTTGACACTCGGAAGACGTGCGACTTTCTTGAGCGGAACCGCGCGAGAGGGAGGACGGGGGTGGGGTGGCAGGGGGAGGGGGGCATGTGGTGCTTCTATTCTTACTGAAGCTTTTAAACAAACTCAGAAAAAGGACAACCGGAGTCTTATTACGTGCCCTGATGAAATTGACGTTGATGGCAACTTTTTTTTGAGCTGCCGATACGTTTAATGGGGCCACACGACTGAACTCAGTGTTTCCCAATTTTAAAAAAAAAAAGCACCGCGAAACTTGAACTTCAGCCATTCCTTCCTTCGATTCACGCCAAATGCTACCCGATCTCGTCTTTGCTTTGGCTGTGTTGCACACCGCACCCGCGTATCAGGTCCTCACAAGGAAGCTTCACCCAGCTGTCAACCACATTGTAGCTGCATAGATCCTGCCACCCCCACCGCACCCCCCCCCGCCCTTTGCTCAAATCAGCAAGCAATTAACTTGTGATTACTATCCGAGGTCAGGGTTAAGCTCCAAGTTAAAGGTTGAAGCAGCAAACATTTTAATATGATCCTCTTACTCTATTATCCCCTTTCTCCGCTGCCAGCTTCTACCTCATAGGGAGAGTACCTAACAGTACGTATAACCCCTCGGCAATTATTCTTCAACGAACGTCCTCGCTCCGTACAGTCGGTGTGATGAATGTGCGATCCCTCGTAACCCCCACCCGCGACTCTTTTCGACTTCTGCTTACCATGCAAGTTTCCTTTTCACCTGAACAAATGACTCCTTTGCACAAAAAGTGCTCACCTTTTCCTTTTAGTGGAGGGCGAGCCGAGGAGTCTGCATTGATAGCAGCGAGGGGGGGCGGCGGCGGGTCTGTTTGACGCCGACGAGTGTTCAGTCAAGCGACGTTTATTTTTGTGCTTTGGCCTGTAACCGCCGCAGGAAACGGCGCAGTCTCTTGATCGGTGAGCAAAGCCTATTAAGTTACAGCACTTTCACCCCTAGCTCTTGGACTCCATTTTAAAACCACCCCCTCACCCCCTCGCATTAATGGCGAGGTCACCGGGGCACGCACCGGTCGCGTTAAACAACCTGGCGCCGAAACGCTAGGACGTTGATAACTGAGCAAGATTCTTCAACGTGGCCTCAACGCAATACCTGGGATCAGGTTAGTATTCACCCCTGAGAGTACTTAAGTGTTTCCCGAGCAGCGTTTGCTTTCCCCGGACTGATCGGAGGCGTCATGTCTTTATACTGCCTGGCTAAAAGGCTACTC